AGAAGAAGATGCGATCTCTGTAACAAGAATTTCACTTTCCTGAGGACCATGATTCAAACAGCTCGCAGCTCAAGCGGTTGTCACCTTTTGCGAGGATGTCGGTCTCGTTAAACTTGAAAATATGGCCGGGTCGCCGAATGAGCTGCAAGCTAGGAATAATCGTCTTTCTTCCTCACCGCCACTGCGTGCTCAATCATTCACGTTTAGAATAATCTCCTGATTTCTCCGACATAGTTTCTTTGTTCACAAATGCAGCAGCTCCGGTAAACGACTCCAGACCTTTCCTGCCGTGCCGGATCTGGTGCAGTTGGGGACAAAGCAACTACGTCGGAGAAACCGGGAAATTACTCTACACGTGAATGGCTAAGCACGCGGCGGCGGTAGGGAAGAAAGGCGCTAAGCCCTTGGTTGCAGCTCATTCGGCGACCCGGCCCTATTTTCAAGTTTAACGAGGCCGAAGTCCTCGCAAAAGGTGACAACCGCATGAGCTGCAAGCTGCTCGTGTCATGGTTCTCAGGCCCACAGTAAATCAACAAACGCAACGAGTTGCTGTTCCCATACAGGCCTGAGTAGGTGAATCAGTCACGTGCAGAGGGCTGGGGCCAGCAATAATTTCGACGACAGCGAACAATTATCAAGTGCGCATCCAACGCGGTCAGCGAAATCACGGCCATTAGTGCGTCGAAAGCGATCTGCCGAGCCATCAACGCACCAGTTTCGACCCCAAGCGGTGTTTACGGGAACTGACGACAGCGGGCATAATTGTGGCGCAATTATCAAACACGCATCCGACGCGGACAAGAACGCTGGGAGAATTAATGAGCCATGATCACACATATTATGACCTTAAGCTGCGGCTAAAGGAACTGACAATTATAGTACGCATGCGGGTGGCCGCTAGGAACTAAAAAGTGCAATCTGTGCATGTATCAGCCCTATTTGCGCATGTCTCAGAATATCCTACGATTACCTATGATTAAGGATTCTCGACAGGATCCGGAACGTCAGGAAAATAAAATTCTTTTTCATCTGAAATGCTGTAATCGTTGATCTAGAATGTGCCGGGGTACATTTACTAGACAAGTTACTTCCCATCTCACGGTCAGTGATATTTTCCGAGGGGGTAATCATTAGAAGACATTATCGCAAGGACATTCGACTGAATGAACACATGTGTCATCTCACTAATTTTCACATTTTACGTTGGACCGGGACGTGGCCATCATCCTGGGACGTAGGCTTTATGACATTTCTCATTGTCAAAGTTGATGGTTGTAAATGTCCCCCGCTCTATAGCAGAAAACACGTTTTGACTCTTTTTCCTTCTAAATTAATTCTGTACTTTGGATGCTATCCTGGGGCTTCTTCCAGACTCTCAAATCCTAAGATACATTTAAATTTTTCGTTTTTTGCGTAATTTTGCGCATATTTAGGTTAGCTTTGGCCGGAAGCTTCACCCAGGTGGATCTTCTGCTCTGCCTGGTCACTCTAACTAACAGTCCATATCTTGGAAACTGACTCCTCGGACAGCAATTCCCAAGTTCAAGTTAAATATTTAAAGAATGCTAGCAGCTTAGTGTAGAGAAGCAACGGGCTATTCTTTTTCCCATGAGCAGACATTGTGGGCGTCTGCGCACTCAGCACTACTGTGCTGACTCACCCCATATTCGTTCGCCAAGCTTGCACCCCGCGCGCCCTTATCCCTACTCACGCTCACCGATGTTTGAAACGCTCCGTCAGTATTCTGCTGTGCGAAGACGTCAAACAAGGGGAGTTTGCTGTTTACTTTTTCGAGCGTAAACGTGATTCCTCGCATCGTTGAAGTAATGATGTTGTGTAGTGTTTCCAGCTGGTCCTTTATAACATTGAAAAACGTCCTCGTACAGCGAAATACTGAAGGAACGTTTCAAACATCGGTTTACCGCAAAAAGGCCTATGTTGATGTTATCCTTCATTACGAGAGCAACCACCCTATTGCTCATAAGCGGAGTACTGCTAACACTCTGATCAATCGAGCAAGAACATACAGTTCTAACACCGAACTTTACCAAAACGAGCTCAAGTACCTTTTCGAATTATTGTCAAAAAATGGTTCCTCTAAGGATTTTGTACACCGATGCATGAGACGACAAGAGTTAAAACGAAAAAAACATTTGTCTGAAATCGTTGAAAGACATCTGAGGAAATACCAGATCCAAGTGGCGCACAAGCCAACGACCACACTTCGAAATCAGATTGAACACCCTAAGGATAGGGTTGGCTATTCGTACAAAAGAGAGATCGTTTATAAAATTCCTTGCGGCGGCTGTGATGCATTCTTTTGTAGGCAAACAGGAAGGTCCGCCTCTACACACATACGTGAACATCAATTAGCGGTAAAGAGGCACGACCATCTGTCCGAAGTCGCCATGCATTCGCTTGAAACTGGTCACAAATTTGCATGGGACCAAACCCGCATAGTATGTTCCTGCCCATACAGGAAAGGCCGAGAATTTTTAGAGGCCATAAACTCTAACGAATCATACATCAATAGGCACGGTGATTCGGATTCAATGTACATCAACCTCAAAAAAGCCTGGAAAAAGTGCCAACCACCAAAGCCTGCTACTGACCAAGGATGACGATTCATTATCGATTTTTCGGCATGTTTGAAAATGCGCACTGTTCTTTACTCAGTCCCCTCACGTCCGACGACGACCTGGTGTACCAGCGTCGAAAATTTACAATAAAGTTCGTTCACGTTCCCCAAAGAATTTTTTCTATCAAACACCAAAATATATTATGTGGCTGTCTTAGCTGGCACAAAGACTTTATGGACGGTTATGACTCCTGTACAGTGTCCCAAGTAGACGATATATACCCGCAAACAGGCTATACTCCGTTGATAACTATCAGCGTTTCTACCGTTGTGCCTGAGGTGTATGCAGTTTTGTAACGCTTTGTTGGCACGCAACGCATGCGGCCATGGTGCGTGGGTGACCAAACTTACTTGATGATACTCAGCTGCTGATTTAAGATGAATTTGCGCAAGGGAGGCTAGCTGGTCCACGTAATCCCAGCAGCTTCCAACGTTCCCTGTCAATGTCTAAAACAAAAATGAATCGGTATTGGAGTCAGAAAATCGTAGACCAAACAGGAAACTGTTTCCCTTCTCAATAGATTACTCACAGCGTCATGTGGTACACAAATTTATAATTCAATTATGCCGATTGTGCAATTTGCGCGGCCTCGGTGGGAGTCTAACCCACACGGCAGGGAAGGCTTTTGCGCAGCCAACACTCTACCGATGTAAGCTATGAAGCTCATCATGCGCCGTGAATGTAATTACGCTTGGATCGATTTTTTGCCCAGCTTTACTGCGCGCATGGAATCTACTAATACGGACGCAGTAAGCTGACTGCGAGGCGGGCTTCCTAAGTGATCATCTAGAATGAACCTGACTGATTACTAGGCTAACATTGGTTGTTAGGGCTCTGGCAGATTTCAATTAGAATTAAAAAATTGGTTAATCATCAGGTAGGTAAGAGTGAAGAGGACCAACCTTGTATGGGTAAATAGCTGAATGTACGACATTGGGATTACTCAGTTCCACTGATCGTTCGGCAAAGTGTGCTGTGATATCCTGCCGAAGAGCAATGTTAAGGCACA